TTAATAGGACATACATACATTACTCTTGGAAATGAGAGTCAGAACGAATATTCAAGTTGACTGGGCTATACGCCATCTAGATTTTTAAAAAGAAAGACTGAGGGAAGAGAGAGAAGGGGAGAGGAAGGGTAAGAGGCCCGTGCAGAGAGATGAAAAAGGGACAAAGCTCAGAAAGGAGAAGCTGAGTCCTCAAGAGGAAGCCAGGATTTTCTGGAGCTGCTGCCTTACTCCACACACCCCTGCAATGCCCTCTCTTGCTCCTCACACCCCTGCAATGCTTCCCTTACTCCTCACACCCTCAAAATGCCCTTCCTTGCTCCTTGTACACCCTTGGGTGCCTTTAGACTCATCAGTACTTACACATGATTGGAATCAGCTCTTGTATCTGCCCCAAATTCTTTCACTGTTGAGGGCAATAAAGAATGGAAGAGCAGAGTCAGTTCTCAAACAGAAGATGTTAAGATGGAGACGCCTGCTCACCTCCTTCTCTTCATTCTTTCAGACACCCGGTGTCACTGCACAGAAATTGTTTGGCCATCTTCATAGTGAACTGTACTGAAAGATCTTCATCTTTCTGTTGTGTCATTATAATCATAAGATAGTGTTTCCACAGAAATATTTGGATTCTGAGTTGCTTCAGAGTCAAAAGCCCCAGCCTTACAGACCATCATGACGAGCACTAGAGATACAAATGACTTTTTTTTTTCCTTCTTTTAAATTTGAGGCAGGTTATGTGTTAGATGTTGCCTTTGCTGGCCTCAAACTCATGATGTAGCTCAAGTTGGCAAGCCTTCGTCTCCTGTCTCCCAACACTATGGGCAAGCACCCCCCTACCTGGACAAATAGCTCTTCCTTTAAGGTTTGTTTATTATTCATTTATTTTTATGTATCTGGGTGTTTTACCTGCATGTATGTTTGAATGCCACATACGTGCAGTGTCCTCAGAGGCCAGAAGAAGTGAATCTTGTGGGGCAATTGTGAGCTGCCATGGAAGTGTAGGGAATAGAACCCCAACCTCGCTCTCTTGAAGACCAGGCAGTGTTATTAACTTCTGAACCATCCCTCTGGCCCTTGTTTGTTTGTTGGTTTGTTTGCCTTTATCTGAGTACCACAAAAAGTATTAGCAATGACAAATACATGGCCTTCCAGCTGTGTGGAATTGTGAATCATTTCTTTGTTGTGAAACATGAATCTAAAGTTTGCTTCCTTGGGGAACTCACCACTGTATTTGTTCATAATAAATCTAATAAAGTTCATTCCAATGACATTCAAGAGGAGTTTTTCTTTTTCTTCCAGACAAGATCTCCCAGGTTGAAAATTATGATGAAGATGTTTAGAATGATGTCACGGCAAAGGTGGCCTTTACTGTTAGTGTCAGAATGGGTATATTACAGGTGGTATTTTGACATGTCTGCATCCAATAAGATAGATTCCAGTATCAGAGGTGAAATTTCTAATTCTGTGGGTCCAAAAGGAAATCACATGTTATCTCCAAGCATTACACACTCACACTCACACACACACACACACACACATACAAACACACATACACACAAATGGGACTGTCTTTGTACAAAGAAGCTCAAGAGTTCCTGCAGACTTTGCTGAGTTTAATTGGGACATCTCTGTTTTTCCAGGAAATTGTGCATAGTAAAGACAGTACAATTTTTTTTTAATGAGAATTATAGTCATATGGTTCCCTTAAAGAGCTTTGTCCCAACCAGTTGTTCTAAACTTTGGGATAGCTCGAGTTAAAAGCACAAAAATTGAATGGCTTTTGGGGGGCTGTAAAAGTTGTAACTTTTTGGAAAGAGAATTCTTCAAACCATCCTGTAATAAACATACCACTCTTAAAACTTATTCATATCTGGAGGGCAGGGCTGGAGGGATGTCAGAAGGTGATGAGATCTTGACCATCTTCCTGTACAGATTTTCTATGATAAAAATGCTTTGCCAGTTTGCACCAATGATGATCTAGGACTATCCTATGAGCCCATTTGAATTTCGTGGAGACATTTACACAACACAGGAGGAAACAGCTTTGTTTCTCAGTTACTGCAACAAAAGACAGATAAGCACACGCATATTTATCTAATATAAGTTTTAGACAGCAGAAAGCCTGAGTTGGGTGTTTATGGGCCAGATTACCTTTGAGCACCAGGGATGTGAGTGGAGGGTCATGCAGATGTTGTCCATCCTTGTTTTTTCAAAATCTGGAACTAGATGTGGCTATTTTATAGTGGCTTTTGATTATCTCTGCAGATTGATCCTCTGAAGTGTGCATACACAGAAATAAATAAAGATCGTCATTAGGTCTCAGGCAGTGCAAGGGCAGGGACACTGTGATAACCAAACAAGGGGCTTTGAGCTTGGGCAGCTATGTGGGAAAGGAGATGGAGAGATAAGAGCTGGCCTAACAGGGTTGGCTTTGTAGATTTTTCTCATCCTCAGCTTGCAACTCTACTGTAAGAAATTCTCTACCCCAGCACTGGGTAATTTCCCTTCTTCTCCTGGGGAAGGTCAAATGCCTCTCTTTACCTACTGGTTTTCAGGTGCCTTTAGTCCAAACTAATGATGAGCAGCATGACAGAGTGGTTTATGTGAATTTGTGTGTTAGAACTCCTTCAGAAATATCCACTTGATGCTGCTTGATATCTAAACAGCTGTCTTTGAGCCCCAGGAGGATGTAGGTGCCGGGTCACACAGACTTAGTCCATCCTTGTTTCTTCAAATCAGGGAACTAAATGTGACTATTTTATAGTGGCTTCTGATTACCATTGGAGATTGGTCCTCTAGAGTGTGCATACACACAACTAAATAAAGATCACTGTTAGGTCACAGGTAGTCCATATATCCAGAAATGAGCTCAAGCTCATTTCAGATGGATGTCTAGTGGTTAGAGAAAAGCCAGCTGTTATGATAAAGCGTGAGGCGAACCTTGGCAGATTCCGCGGCAGGCAGATCTGAGTACTGACCTGTGATTTCCTAATTTGAAAAATCTATTTTGCTACCAAATTCAGTCGTGCGTACTTCATTTTAGTGTCATGCGTGCGTGTGTACACAGGCAGAAGCTCATAGACTCCTGGCTCAGGAAAACCAAGCTCACACCACACCAGGCCTTCATCGCCCCCACCCCCACAGCAGCTTCCTAGAGCCCAGTGATGGTGACTTTATTTGGACAACACATGAAAGACAATCTTTAGTTCCAGTGTTGCTTCCCCTGCTGAGAAGAAAGTGGGGGCAAAGAAGGAAGAAGAGGAGTCTAACAACAAGAAAAATAAATTCCCCAGTAGTCTCATCCTGGGGAAAGAAACGGTTGGGTGGGGCCTTGTGCTAGCCAGAGAGAGAGTGCTTTCCTGGAAAGACATTTTACAGTTCTGAAGACTTGTCAGACCACTTTGCAGGAGAGGCTGGAGCTCAGAAAGTGACTGGTCAGTGTGGGAGGGGCCACACTTTGACCTGGACTGCTTATTCATGAACACCTCTTGTCCTCCATTTAAGCCTAAAGTTCATGTCAGGAACCTGAAGACGGGCTCAGGGTCACTGGACTCTATCTGGTCCTTTTCCTAATTTGCCACATTGAATACATTGCCTTTCTCTGCTTTTCCCTATTATCTGTCTCTTTAATTGATCCGTTGAGGATGAGTGGCTGAGCCTGGCTTGGAAAGCTCGCCACAGCCTAACAACTCTACTAACACCAGAACCCTTCCAGCTGTGGACACACAGTCCTCTCATTCCCTCTTTCCTTCCCAAGGAAGGCACTGTTGGGAGACCTGGAATTCTAACTACCATCAATTCCATTCTATACTGGGGATGGGGTGGCAGTCCTTCCCTCTCCCATGATTCCCCGGATTGCTTTGTGACCTTTTAAACCTCCAGGTTGTAAATAATGCAAACAACAAACTCAGGTCACAGGGCTTTGTGAAGGAATGTGAGGTGTGTGTGCCATTGTCCCAGAGCTTGCTTTGCTCAGCTGCCCCTTGGGAATCAACATCTGAGGTTCAAACGGTGTCCTCTCTTTCCTTGGCAGTCCTGAGGCACTTCCCATCCAAGCTTACGGTGCCCTTGTTTCTATCATTCAGGTACAATTGACCAAGATTTACTCCACCCATTTTTCTTGGAAGCCAACCCCTTTGTAATCCATATAAATCCCGCACCACAGGGACTGAGTGACTGCAGAAACTGACTTCCAATTTGCCCTGGAGTTCACACTCAGAGTTTAGGTAAGCAGCCTAGAGATGGCATCAGAGACTATTTCTGATTGGGAGCTGGAACTGAGAGTGTCAAGGCCAGTCATTCTTGACTGACCAACTCCAGAAAAGCTGGGCTGGGCAAATGACTGGAGGCAGGGGTGGAGGCAGGGGCATAGTCAGGTATGAAGAACTAACTAGAGGGATGAGAAGAACAGAGTACCAGGTTGGGGAAGGGAGCATGTGTCTTTAGAATAGAGCTCAGTCCCTTTATAATGTCAGTATCAGACCAAGTTCCCCTGTATTGTAAGACAATGAGACTATCAGCAACAGTCTTGGGAGTCAGTAATGACTAGGGAATATAATTTTTCTCATGGCATATTCAAAATGACCTTCTGATGAGCTGTTTGAACACTGTGTACAAACGTGGTCTATCTTTCAAATGTATTTTATATGAAAGAAACTCCAGTATTCAGTATACCTCCAAGAATTTAGGTGACTCAGCCCACCACCTGGAGAAAAGAATGGCATCTCTTCAGTAAAAAATGAAGTAAAGCACTGTCAGCGCTGGCAAGATCTCTCAGCAGAGGGAATCTTCCAGGCTTATCCAAAGAACAGAATTATCCTGGGGAGGCTGAGCTGGGGGAGTGGGCTGGGGAGGCTGAGCTGGGGGAGTGGGCTGGGGAGGCTGAGCTGGGGGAGTGGGCTGGGGAGGCTGAGCTGGGGGGAGTGGACTGGGGAGGCTGAGCTGGGTCCTGCAGCTCTTCTGAGGGTGTGTCCTTTTTTTCTCCCCCTGTCCCTGTCAGGCTCCCCAGAGCAACAAAGCCACCATGAGTCTGCAGAAGTCCCTCATCCTGTTTCCATTGCTTGTCCTGGTGCTTGGATGGGTCCAGTCTTCCCTGGGCAAGGAATCTGCTGCCATGAAGTTCGAGCGACAGCACATGGACTCCTCGGTTGCCTCCAGCAGCAGCCCCACCTATTGCAACCAAATGATGAAGCGTCGGAATATGACACAGGGGTCCTGCAAGCCTGTGAACACCTTTGTGCACGAATCCCTGGCAGATGTCCATGCTGTCTGCTTTCAGGAAAAGGTCACCTGCAAGAACGGAAGGTCCAACTGCTACAAGAGCCACTCTGCCCTGCACATCACTGACTGCCGCCTGAAGGGCAACTCCAGGTACCCCAACTGTGACTACCAGACCAGCCAGAAGCAGAAGCACATCATTGTGGCCTGTGAGGGGAACCCCTTCGTGCCAGTCCACTTCGATGCTTCTGAGTAGGGTTCCATGTAAGCCAAACCAGAGAGATGTTCCTGTCTCCCAACCCATCATGTCAATACCCGACCCTCTTTTATTCTTTCCCAGAAAGAAATAACCCCTTTTAGGGCTTATGTGGGACAAAACATGCTTCCCTAGATGGAATAAGACAGCCCTCACCACTATGTGTCCTTTCAACCTGAGATTTCCTTGACTTCAGAACCATGAACCCAATAAAATTCTGTTCATTATAAACGGCTCAGCCAGAGGTGTCCTTTTAGGGCAGTTTGCAATGGACTAAGGACAGCAGGCACCTCGTTGGCCCAGACCTTCCCTGCTGGCAGCTTTAACTACAATGGAAGCTAGAGCTCTCTGCCTCTTCTGACCACCGATCATTCATTCTCCTACCTTTGTATGTAATAAGCCTATCATCAGTTTCAGCACTCAGTGGCCGAGTCCATCGGCTCCCCGTACCAACACAGACTTGCCACATCTAGGTGAGAGGAGGCCTTCTGCCAAGAGGGCAGAGAGCATAGCTTTTGCTTCTGCCTTTCTGTGAGCTGCTGCTTCACACGTTGTTTCTCAGTCAGTAGTTTTAGATATATTTGAGTAGTTTTCATTCCTTTTAACCAATAATGGGCGTGTGTGTGTGTGTGTGTGTGTGTGTGTGTGTGTGTATGTGTATGTGTGTGTGGTGTGTGTGGTGTGTTGTGTGGTATGTGTGTATGTGTGCGGTGTGTGTGTGTGTATGTGTGTGTGTATGTGTGTGTGGTGTGTGTGTATGGTGGTGTGTGTGTATGTGTGTGTGGTGTGTGTGTATGTGTGTGTGGTGTGTGTGTGTGGTGTGTGTGGGGGGGGTGTGTGTATGTGTGTGTGTGTGTGGTGTGTGTGTATGTGTGTGGGGTGTGTGTGTGGTGTGTGTGTGTATGTGTGTGTGTGTGTGTGGTGTGTGTGCATGTGTGTGGGGTGTGTGTGTGTATGTGTGTGGTGTGTGTGTGTGTGGTGTGTGTTTATGTATGTGTGTGTGTGTGTTTGGTTTTTCAAGACAGGGTTTCTCTGTGTATCCCTGCCTGTCCTGGAACTCTCTATAGACCAAGCTGGCCTTGAACTCAGGATTAGAGATGTGCACCACCACTGCCTGGTGGCTTTGAATTCTTGATACTCCTTCCTCCAGCTCTCACATACTGGGCTTATAACTGTGTGCCACCTTGCCCCCAGCTACTATGGGAAGGAGCTTCTTCCATGGTCATCTTCCCATTTTCTTGTCTTCTTAAAGAAAGGAAGGAAGGAAGGAAGGAAGGAAGGAAGGAAGGAAGAAAGAAAGAAAGAAAGAAAGGGGAGTAGATAGATGAGTCAGTTGTTAAAAGCATTTACTGCTTTTTCAGAGGCTTCAAGTTTGGTTTTTAGCTCACAACCACCTGTAGGCCATTTCCAGGGATTCTGGGGGCCCTCTTCTGGCCTCTAAGGGCATTTGCATATATGTGGGGCACACAAACATATGCACATACATACACATAAATAAAAATAAGAAATAAAGAGATAGGTTTTACCTTTCAGAACAGTTTTGGATTCACATGCTAATCTAGCGACGATTATCTTCATAACTAGGCAGAGATCTTGTTCCTCTGAGTAGATGGGGCATGCTATGCTATGGTGGTGGCTATGTTTTAAAGTTCATACCCACAAGTCACTTCCTAGGCTTTGCTTACAAGTTGGCAAGGGCTTATATTGAAAGTCAATTTCTTTATTTTGAATCTCCCTTGAGTCTACAGTGTTAGGAAATTTGGCTTGGCCCCTGATTTAGCCTGGACCAACTAAAGCTCCCTGTACTCACTTTCCTGTCTGTACTCACAGCTTCCTAACACTTGGGGTAGGTTTGTGTGGTGGACCATGGAGGCATGCAGGCAGACGTGGTGCTGGCTACATCTTGATCTGAATGCAACCAGAAGTGGGCTGTGACACTGCACAAAACTTAAGCAAGAGACCTCAAAGCCTGCACAGTGACACACTTCTTCAACAAGATCACATCTACTTCAACAAGGCCACACCTCCCAATAGTGCCATTCCCTATGAGTTTATGGGGGCCAAGTACATTCAAACTATCACAATACTCTTTATTGTAGGCTAAATCATGCTCTCTCAAAACTCATAGGATGAAACCTTAACTCACAGAACCTCAAAATATGACTAAAAAGTGATTAGGTTAAAAACAGGTAATGACAGCCGGGCAATGGTAGCCCATACCTCTAGTCCCAACATTCAGGAGGCAGAGGCAGGCAGATCTCTGTGAGTTCGAGGCCAGCCTGGTCTACAGAGCTAGCTCCAGGACAGGTTCCAAATCAATACAGAGAAACCCTATCTCAAAAAACAAACAAAAAATAGGTGATGACGATATGACACAACCTGACAGTTGGACACACAGACACCTGTCACATGCACACACAGAGGAAAGATAGAAGTTGACCATTTGAAAGCCAAAGAGAGACCTCAGAAGAAATTAAAACCCTGCTAGCACCGTGATCTTGGACTTCTAGGTTCTAGAGTTGTGAAGGAATAACTTTATGTCATGCTGTCTTGTCTGTGTTTTACATCCTGAAAGCCCAATCTAACCTCTAAGCAAACTCCAGCTTCATTGTATTGAAGTTGTTTGTTGCTTGGACCAGTGCTATACGCTATCCCCTTACACCCTAGTTTCCCAAATGACTCCCTTCCATATCAATATCACATCTCTGGTATGAGTATGTTGAAGTTTGGTGTTGGTAAGAATGGGAAGAAAATCTCCATTCTTTACTTCTTCATCCCAAGAATATTCATTATTTTTTCTTTTATGTCATTAAGAATAGAATTGTAGGGCTGGAGAGATGGCTCAGTGGGTGCTCTTCCAGAGGTCCTGAGTTCAATTCCCAGCACCTACATGGTAGCTCACAGCCATCTGTTATAGGATCTGATGCCCTCTTCTGGAGTGCAGTTAGAACACTCATATACATAAAATACATGCATAAAATTTAAAAAGAATTATAGGAAGCTCCCAAGAAAGTAGGTTGCTGGGCTCGGTAAATACAGGCGCTCAGAACTCCAGGGACTTTCTGAGTATCATTAATCTGAGTGTGCCATGTTTTTTCTGCAATAAAGGTGTCAACCTTGTCAGTCAAAGGGATTTAATGCTGCCTGGTTTCCATCTGCCCTTGCCATTCCGCTGTGTCTAGACCAGTGTTTCTTTCTGAGACTTCTAAAAAACCAAAGAAGCCTGTGACCTCCAGAGGTTCCACATAGTGGTGCTGACCTTCCTTCACCTCAGAACATTAGCTCACAAGACAGGATCTGATAACTCCCACCTCAGCTGGATAAACAGAAGGTAAATCAGGGAATCCTTAAATGTCCATGGCAAAAGGAAGGATGGGGGAGGGGGCTCTGTTTCACCTAACAGACTAATTTTTTTCTCTAGTTTTTTAAAAATGGAAAATAGCCCCCCCATATGTTCTGATCATGATTTTCTTTCCCCTATATATTCTCTGGGGGAGGGGGAGAAATGAAAACAAAAGCTAAACCAAACTACCTCATGTATCTATTATCTAAGCTGGATAGATCACTGTTATCAAAATAGAGAAACAACAACAAAAAACAAAATCCAAGACACCAAAGAAGATAGTAACAGTCATTATTCATTGTCAACCTGGCAGGATCCAGACTCATCGGAGAAGCCCGGGTGTGTTTCTAGTTTGTGTTAAGTGAGGTGGGAAGAGCCCCACTGAATGTCAGCGGCATACTCTGCGGTCTGAGCAGAGAGGGGAGGCCGATGGAACACTAGCGTACTTCACCTTGCTTTCTGACCGCATACTCAGTGTGGCCTCACCCACTTGCTGCAACGCCTTCCTTGAACCGAAGACTGTGCCTTCGGGAACCTTTCCTCCACACATTAACTCTTATTGGGTAGTTAGTCACAGCCGAGAGAAAAGTAAGGAATACAGTAGGCATACCTGTTGGTCACACTTGTAATCTCAGTGCACTCAAGTGCTCCTGCCAAGTCCTAGCTGTTTTCCCAGATCTAGGGAAAAAGAAAAGGAAGGGTAAGGAAGCAAGTGAGGTACCTGTACTCCCAGCACTTGCCAAGTGCAGCCAAGGATCAGGAATTCGAGCCCAGCTTCATCTCCATAGTGCATTCTGGGCCACCCTGAGGTACATGGGACCCTAGATAAAGAGAGTGGGCCTGGAGGAGTGAGATCAAACAGAAGAAATTAATAAAAACAAGCATCAAAATCAAGGAAAGAAAGCAAAACCATATTTTTTAAAATGTATTTTATGTGCATAGGTGTTTTGCCTGCATGTATGTCTTATGTGTGTATACCATGGACATGTCTGGCACTCTTGGAGGCCAGGAAAGGGTGACAGATCCCTAGGAGCTGAAGTTGCAGATGATTGTGAACTCATGTGGGTGCTGGGAATTAAACCCAGGTCCTCTTGAAGAGCAACCAGGGCTCTTAACCACTGAGCCGGCTCTCCAGCACCAAACAACAAATTTAACAAGACTAATGGCTCAGGGTTAGGAAGGAAGCGTAGTTAGGGGGCATCTCTACCCATCGAGGCCCGTTGTTTCCAGCATGAGAGGCCCTACTTCCCATGTGCACTTAGAGAGGAATTGTTACACCTCAGGAATCTGGAAGTTTTTACCACAGGATGACCTGTATTTGGTCCCCTAGGACAGTCATTTCCCAGAACCAGCCCATACCAGATGTGTTCCCGCTACCACACATCAGTGCTGGGGCTGTCCAAGGTCATGAGAGATGGATCAGAGAAACAGATTTCTCACACCAAGACCTGTGGTGTGAGACATGTTTGGATAACATGAAGCTGATATGGATATCTGGAATAAGGCAGCTAAAACAAGCAGACAATGGATATCTGGGGGGCTATAAAGCAATACAAAACAGGGTGTCTGGGGAACCTCAAGTACTCAGAGTAAGCAATGATGCACTGAGTTATATAACTATTATAATGGTGTGCCCCCTTAGCATGGTTGCTATGATAAAACACTATGACCAAAAGCAACTTGGGAAGGAGAGGGTTTATTTTATTTGTAGCTTGTAATCAGTTATCCAGGGAAGTCAGGGCAGGAACTCAGGGCCGGGACCTGTGGGCAGAAAATAGAGCTCATGAAGGGTGTTGCTTACTGGCTTTCTCCTCATGGCTTCCTCAGCCTGCCTTCTGATAGCATCCAGGCTATCCAGCCAGGGGTAGCCTTTCCCACAGTGATTTTCATCAATGATGAAAATGCTTCAAGTCAGTATAGTGTCACACATCTTTGATCCCAGCACTCAGGAGGCAGAGGCAGGCAGATCTCTGTGAGTTTGAGGCCAGCCTATTCAACATAGAGAATTCTAGGATTACAAGACTACATAGAGACCCTGCCTCCAAAATAAATACATAAATAAATAAATAAAAAATAAAATAAAAATCTCCACAGGCACAGGCCGTACAGGCCTCCCACAGACCAATCTTGTGGGAGCATTTTCTCAACTGAAGCTGCTCTTCCTAAGTAACTTTAGTGTGGTGGTTTGAGTAAGAATGGTCCCATAGGCTCATGTATGCAAATGCTTAGTCATCAGGGAGTGACATTATTTGAAAAGGATCAGGAGGTGTGGCCTTGTTGGAGGAAGTGTGTCACTGGGTTTGAACTCTGAGGTTTCATTCAAAAGGTCATGCCAAGCCCTGAGTCTTTTCCTGCTGCATGGAGATCTGGATGTAGAATTCTCAGCTCCTTTTCCAGAACCATGTGGGCCTTTGTGTCATCATGCTCCCTACTGTGATGATAATAGACTAAACCTCTGAAACCATAAGCAAGCTCTTATTAAATGCTTTCTCTTATAAGGATGTCTGGGGGAGGCTCAGAGATTAAGAGCACTGGCTGCTCTTTCAGAGGCCCTGAGTTCAAGTCCTAGGAACTACAAATTGGCTCACAACTGTCTGTAATGAGATCTGGTGCCCTCTCCTGGCCCACAGGCAGAATACTGTATACATAATAAATAATCTTGAAGAAGAGGAGGAGAAGGAAGAGGAGGAGAACCCGGGTATTGGTAGCACATGCTTTTAGTCCCAGCACTCAGGAGGCAGAGGCAGGTGCATCTCTGTGAGTTTGAGGCCAGCCTGGTTTACAGAGTTAGTTCCAGGACAGTCTCAGAGCAATCCTGCCTCAAAAAAAAAAAAAAAAAAAAAAAAAAAAAAGAGTTGAAGAGTTGATAGGCATTCTTGACTACATAGTGGTGTAGTGGTGTTGAATCCAGCCTGACCAAATCAGACCCTGTCAAACAAACAAACCCCAAGCCACCACCAACAAAACAAACCAGTAAAATTCATACTCAGTATACTGAAAAAGTAAATGATTTTATTTCTATGAGCAGAATACAATAAAACTTGACCCCCAAAATTGCAGAAAAATCCTTCAGCTGCTTGGACCCTCGTTATCTGTTGCCTACATTTCTCGCTCAGCAGAGGTAACCCCAGAGCAGAGAATAACCCTGTTCTTTTTTTGGGGGGGGTGCTGGTGATGGAAGCCAGGCACCTTTGTGTGCAGGTACTCAGTTACTGAGCTACATCACAGCCCGTGCACCGTTTCTTTTTGTCTTAACTCTGTTCTGATAGCTTAGGCTTTCTAATTTTTCCAGTGCCTTCCTTTCTCTGTAAGAACTGACAACGTGAGATCATTGGTAACAAGAGCCCTAAAGCCTTAGACAATCTCATCTAAGTGCACAGGAACCAGCTGGTAGGGGGGGTCGTCCTTCTTTGGGCGTTCACAGGCCACAATGAAGAGTCTGTGCCTCACGATGCTACTGTAGCGACAGTTGGGATAGGTTTCTCTGGTGTGCGCGCAGTCAGTCATGCCCACAGGCCTGGCGCTCTCGTGGCAGTTCTTTCGGCCATTCTTGCAGGTGATGTTGGGAAAGCCACAGGTAGCGGCCACATTCTGAAAGGATTCATGCAGAAAGGTGTTTTTCTGTTTACAGTGCTGGGTGTAATTGTTGACACCACGCATTGCTGCGTTGCACTGCTGAGGACTTATCTGTATGTGCTGAATTTCAAACCAGCGAGCCTTAGTGAGACCCTTTGGCTGAGTGCCAAGTAGACACACTGGCGCCCACAACCCCAGCAGCAAGAGGAGAGGAAGGCATCTGCGAAGTCCTACCGCCATTTTTTTTTTTTTTTTTTTTCTGTATAGGAATAGAAGAAGCAAAAAGAACAAATATTTATCATGATCAGTTTGTTGGGTTTTTTTTTTTTTTCCTTCCTTTTAAGATTTCATAGGTCTTAAAAAAGAAAGCCAGCCTCACTAGGGAAATGTCCAGAGACCTACAAGGATGACCCCAACTAACAATCTAAGCAACAGTGGAGAGGCTACCTTAAATTCCCTTCCCTGATAATGAGATTGATGACTAACTTATATGCCATCCTAGAGCCTTCATCTAGTAACTGATGGAAGCAGAAGCATACACCCACAGCTAAACACTGAGCCAAACTCCTGGATTCCAGTTGTAGAGAGGGAAGAGTGATGAGCAAAGGGGCCAAGACCAGGCTGGATAAACCCACAGAGACAGCTAACCTGAGCAAGGGGAAGCTCATGGAACCCAGTCTGATAGTTGGGAAACCAGCATAGGACTGACCAAACTCCCTGAACTTGGATGTTAGATACAAGAACTGGGCAGTCTATGGGGCCTCTAGTAGTGGATCAGTATTATCCCTAGTATAGGAATGGATTTTGGGAGCCCATTCCACATAGAGGGATATTCTCTCAGCCTAGACACATGGAGGAGGACCTAGGCCCTGCTCCAAATGATATGACAGACTTTGAAGATCCCCCGTGGAAGACCTCACCTTCCATGGTGAGCAGAAAGGGGATAGGATGGGAGTTGGGAGGAGGATAGGGAAGGAGGGCAGGGTGAGGGAACTGGGATTGACATGTAAAAGAAGCTTGTTGCAAATTTAAATAATAATAATAATAATAAACAGAAAGCCAGGCTCATATTTCTGTGAAAATGCTGAAACCCAGTGAGGAAGACAGGACGTGAGCACACTGCCCTGACTGGAACATCTCATTCTCTTTGACCTGTGTCAAAGCATTGTGCATACTAACACAATGCTCCCCCTCCCCACCCATCCCTTCTAACATGTTTACCTTCCCTCTCCAGCCAGCACTTCCCAGCCAGCTCCACCAACCAGCAGGGCCTGGAAGCCCCTCTCTTACCAGGTGTGTTTGCTGGGGTCCTATTGAGAGCTCCTGCAGTCAATCAACCCCAGGTTCTGAATGTTTTGTAAGCTTTTGTCATGCAAGCCACAGCTGCTTGGGTGGGGCAGGGCAAGAAGTATTCTTAAACCTGTGAAAGAGAAACCTTAGATTTTACAGAAGTACCTCCAAGTAAGCACTTTCAAAGTCTCAATGTTAGTGAAGAGGAAGCCTAACTTCAACTTAAGAAGCAAGGCTCAAAGCTCAGTTTTAAGGACCTGATCTAAGAAGTTAGAACTTCCTTTTCAACTGGAGCTTCAGGGTTTTTGAAGCTCTTTGATTTCAGTTTCTTGACAAAAACTATACATATAAATATACAAAAATATACATATACAAATATATGCATATTTGTATAATAGCACATACTTGGCAATGTGAGTTCCTGCAAGCACACGTGAATAAATCACTTGTTAGTATGTATGTCTATGGGACCAGACACTAGGCTACTCATATTTAAGAGTTTACAGTGTTACAGTTTAATGAAAGAATGAAATAAATAAGCATGTTACGCATTAATAACTCTTATATATATGGTTGTGAGCCTAGCCTTTAACATCTGAGCTATCCCTCCAGCTAGCACTCACAGTGTGATTCACACTAAAGGGGACAAGTGTTACTGAAAGACACTGATCTAAGTTGAGCTGTGTTTTGAGGCATAATTAGATGGACAGACCTTTAACAGGAGAACTGTATGTTAAAAGACCTGAGAACATAAAGAAGAGAAAATGTAGGGTACCTGCTTTTGAATCTCTTTTCTGCTCACCACCAGTGTGAAAGACAGGATGGCTGCACTGTATCATCTCATGGAAGGTTTCCACTGGGCCTCCCTGCCTCTGGCCTTATTTCTTTCTGAGCAATCCTGCATGTTTTCCCAGTTTTGTACAGTTCCAATAGTACACTTTTATTCAAAGAGGTGCTTTTGTTTGTTTGTTTTTCAGATAATATCTTGATGTGTGCCCAGGCTTGCCTAGAACTCAGTATCAGCCTGCACCCTCCTTTTAAGTGCTGGGAGGCAGGCGTGTACCACCATGCTCACTTTGACTCACCACCACCGATCGGGGTGTTTCGATGTGATTTAACTACCGTGGTTTGAGTGTTTCCCCCATAGACATGAGTGTGAACACTTCAGCCCCAGCTGGTGGGACTATTTAGAGTTGTGGAGATTTGCTAGAGGAAGTGGGTCGCTGCCAGTGGGTCTTGAGGCTTCACACACAGTCCCACTTCTTGTTTGCTCTATGCCTCCTGACTGAGATAATTGTAACTAGCCTACTCCTGCCATTATATCTGATGTAAGTTGTGACAGACTTAAGCTTTGAGCTAAAGTAAACACTTCCTCTATTAAACTGATTCTTCCTGGGTTTTTAGTTCCAGAAACAAGGCAAGTAACTAATGATATCTGCAGTCGTGATTGCTCAAAGAAAACTTTTTTTTTTTTAAAAGTGCTTTAAAGAGACTGGGAAAATGCCTCAGTGGTCAGGAACGTGTATTGCTTTGCAAGGACCTGAGTTTGGTTCCTAATACCTGTATCAGATAGCTCACAACCTCCTGCAACTCCATCTCCAGGGAGAACCTGATGTTTTTGGCCTCTTTGGGCAATAACATTCATGTATCTCTCTGACCACACACACACATTTTAAAAAATCTTTAAAAATAGCTTTCAAAATTAGTTTCTTCTTTGACAATGACACACACACACACACACTCACACACACACACACACACACACACACACACACGTTAGGATAAAGCTTGAGGGGGACCTTGGTGTATTCCATGGTGGGTAAGGGTGACGGAGGTGAAGGGACAAACACACCAGGCAGACAGAGTTTAAGTGAGAAGTTTTATTAGAAAGGGAAGGGGAGAGAATGTGTCCCTCCTATCTCCTTTCCTATTGGCCAACAGTTCTTTATTCATTAACCAGTATGAGAAACATATACAGAATGACCTCTCCCATCACTTAGATGGGATGGACAGAGACTCTGGCACTCTGGAGCCATAATACTGAGTGTTATAGCTCAGATGGACAGGTATTCTGGCACTTGGGAGTCAATGAATACCACAGGTCACAGTGAGCATAGCAGCTTATAGCCCTGCTTCAGGGAAAGGCTTCTCCAGTGTTATCAGCTCTGCTCTGGCAGGAGAGTTCACAACCAGAGAGCCTCAAGCTGAACAGATGGGGTTTATATAGAAATTCTTAGGGGATGGAGTTTTCTTAGGAAGATTTCCTTAGGTGGGGATTGGTCAGATTTCAATCCTTGAGCTCAGACTGGCTAGACCTTGTGCTCAGGCACTGGGTGGTTTTCTGCACAGGTTTAGGGTCAGATTTCAGGGCCAAAGTGTGTTTCTTTCACTGGTCCTTTTTAGTCTTTGGGCTCTAATTTTAGGGCCAGGGTGTATTTCTTTCACTGGCTCTGATTCCAGGGACAAAGTGTGTGTTTTGGCACTGGTTTCAGGGTCAAGGTGCATTTCTTTGTTTCTGGTTGCAGGGTCAAATTGTGTTCCTTTGGCTCTATTCAGGGTGTGTTTCTTTGGTTGGCTCTTTTCCCTTACAGAAGGAATGAGAAAAGAGGTAAAGAGACACAGACAGAGATAGAGAGAAGACAGAAGAGAAGAGGGAGACAGGAAAAGTCCTTTCTGCCCCAGGGGAACAGTGAGAAATGGGCAGGAAGAGAACTGGAAAGGAGCAGAAAGGAGAGCAGAGAGAGACAAAAGCCAGAAAGAGCATAAATGGGCAGGGATCTGTCTTTTAAAAGGGTCCTTTGCACCTATGTGCAGACTAGTAGTCTTGGAACCCTGGGCTGACCAGAGTACTGCCTGAGTGCATTCTGCCAGGTGACAGGGGCAGGCCAGCATAATGCCTGAATCCTTACAACATGACATTCTGATCATGCTCATGCCTCTACCTTCTTTTTTTTTTTTAACTTATAATTTATTTATTTAGTGTGTGTTTTTACACACATGTGCGCTCTCTCTCTCTCTCTCTCTCTCTCTCTCTCTCACACACACACACACACACACACACACACACCAACTTGTGCCATGGTGCATTTGTGGAGATCAGAGGCCAATTTGCAAGAGTTGGTTTTCCTCTTCAGTTTTGTAGCACCCCGGGATGGATTCACTTAGATAGTCCAGCTTGATGGTAAGCGCCTTTATCTATGGAGTCATCTTTCTGGTCCCTCATCACTTGATCTTATTCTCCTCACCCTCCCACCAGTTTCCTCTTCCCACCAACAGGCATTTTCATGTGTTCAGTTTAAATTTGTTTTTGTTTGTACTTTGTAACCCACTGGGTTTTAACAGGCCTGCTCATGTGGGAGTGGGTATAAAATTATCTCCTGGAGTGTGAGTAACTCACAATGGCTACATCACTGAAGACAACGACTTCTCCAGCAAGCCATCAATTATGATTAGCTCCCTTGGAGGGGTCTTATGAGCCTCTCCCCTATCTATGCCTGAATGTTTATGGACTCAGTCTTGCACAGCCCCTAGCCAGCAGCCATGGATGTTGTGAGTTCAGGCATGCCATGGTCTACGTGTGTCTGTAAGACAGCAAGCATTACAAGGCTATCATCATCATCACCACCACCATCATCCAATTGTTAGAGTCTTCTCTCCCCACTTTTTCTTAATAGTTCCTGAGCCTCAGAGAGGATGATATGGGTGGCCCAGAACTTGATAACACCTAGACCAACCTTGAGCCTCCATTAATTGCCATTAAATGTGATTTTGTCTTTATAGCTACAGCTTCCAATATACTTTCTTTGTTGTATATATTCTGTGGTATAACCATGATACACTGACTCAGCCCTTCTTCATCCTGGTACCCTCTGTTTGATTGTCCTGCCTAACTTTATCCTGCCTTGCTATAGGCTAATTACCTTCTTGATTAACCACTGAGAGCAAGACATATTCACAGCATAC